AATTTTTTCTTATTTTTTAAATTTAATTTCTCAATATACATTGTAGTTGATTTTCATGCCCCTTTACCTGTCCCCCTGCCCCCCCCCCCGTCATATCTGTTCACTTGACTTAAATAGTTCAAGGTATTTTTGTGGTTATTCTGTCTTCTTCCCTGCCCAAAATAAGCAGTTTAAACCACTCTCAAACCATGCTCCTAGTCGACTCTAAAACCCGAGACCTTGAAAAGAAAATTATTTTTCAGATTCCAAATGTAATAGAAAGGGAGAGTTCAGAAAATTTGGAAAATATGGATGAGCAAAAGGAAGAAAATAAAAATCCCTGTAGTGACTGTCCTTTGAGGTCATTTTCCTAAAGGCAATTTGGGGTCTGGGGTGTGTTCTCCCAGGCTCCTGCATGCATCTTCATTTGGCAGCCAGATGAACGGATGTTCATTTGGCACACAGTGATCAAGCACCTGCAGTGGGCCAGGCTCCTGCTAGTGTCCTGGGCTGTGGGACACACGGCCAGCAGGACTGATGGGTTCTGCCCTCATGGAGCTTACGTTGTAGTGGGGGAGCAGGTGGAAAAACACTGAGTGTATAAAAGAGTGAGATACTTGTCACCAGAGTTAAGTGACTTGAAGGAAATAAACAGAAAGATGTGGGAAAGAGCAGTGACTGGTGCTGCATTCTCCCCTTTAGAGAGTGAGTTCAGGGCGTGCTCTCTGAGAAGGGGACCTGAAGGATGAGGAAGTTTCAGGGTTGGGGAGAAGCACTTCATAAAACTGCGGTTGCTCTGCATGGAATTCCCTCTAACCTGTTTTTACCTCAGTTAACTATGAGCCTCTTTTCAACAATTGTCAATAGTTCTATAGCATCCCTTTTCACAGCTGTGTAGTACTCCACTGCAGAATCCTATGTCATTGTGTCTCTGTTCCAGAGGTTCATGAGTGTGATCAGTGCATGCAGAGCCCAAGCTTTTTTTTTTTTTTGTCCTTTTTTCGTGACCGGTAAGGGGATTGCAACCCTTGGCTTGGTGTCGCCCGCACCGCGCTCAGCCAGTGAGCGCACGGGCCATCCCTATATAGGATCCGAACCCGTGGTGGGAGTGCCGCTGCGCTCCCAGCGCCGCACTCTCCTGAGTGCGCCATGGGGTTGGCCCAGAGCCCAAGCTTTTAGGACCAGTGTGGGATGGGTTATTCTATCCCCTGGGAATTGGGATGGAGGGATGGCAGGCAGCAAAGACTAAAATCTCCACGCTTGCCTGGCTTCTACCTGTGTAGACACAGAACCGAGGCAAAAGGATGAAGGAGGGTGCACACATCAACCGCTCCCTGCTGGCACTGGGCAACTGCATCAATGCACTCAGTGAGAAGGGCAGCAGCCGGTCGCAGTATGTGAACTTCCGAGATAGCAAGCTCACGCGCCTGCTGAAGGTAGGTAGCCTGGGACAGTAGGGGGCCCGCTGCAGCAGTTGACTCTACATCTTTCAGGAGATACTGGCCTTGAGAGAGGCTCAGACCTGAGTCTTAGGGCCCTTCCAGAAACCCTGAAGGCAGGAAAACTCCGTCTCTAGCCACTGCCTGACTCACCCTATCCATCCCTCTGATTATGGTCCAGCCCATGCTTGCATACCCCTGGTGACAGGGAGCTTACTACTTTCCTGAGGCTGTCTGTCCCATCATGGACGGCTCTGATGGTGAGAAAATCCCCCTTTATACTGAGCTGAATGCTGTAACTGCCATTCTACAGCAAGGTGCAGCACAAACAAATAGGCAAAGCGGTAAATAAATGTGCCTGCAAATTCTACCTCTTGGTCTAATCTGCTCTTATCAGAGGTGAAGTCAGATGGGGAGCCTAAAACAGGTCCCACTTCATCCCAAGAGTCACCTCTTTGAGGACTGACCCCCTGGTCCTCAGTATCAGTTATCCTTTTCAGGGTTTGGAGCAGGAACCTCAGGAGGGCCTGGTGATGGGTGGGGGAGGGCCAGTGCCACTGGGCAGGAGGGGCCCATGAGGCTCCATCACCCCAACTCCATGGCTTCCACCGAGCAGGATGCCCTGGGAGGGAACAGCCGGACAGTGATGATCGCCCACATTAG